ATAAGATATAATTTTATAATTCTGCATCATTAATTTAATACTAAACATTCCATAATTCATGACATGCAACAAATTTGTACCACAAACGAGCAGACTAATTGGTACCACAAATTTGGTGTCATCTTTTTTGTGATTGCCTAATGGCACATTATAAATAACTAGTTCTCGCGCCAGCTTTAGAAGTCTTCTGCTGATCACCAACTTGAGTTCTTTTGATTCTTTGTTGAGTGAACGAGCATTACACGGAATTTTATAACAATTTATGGTGTGAACAGCTTATTGGTGTTAAATGTTTCGCGATACAAAGAGGTACCGTTTTTTTCCTTACATCAATACAAGCAGCCTCATCGGGATCGGAACGCACAAAGCCATGATCCTCGGAAATTTCTTGAAAGGATTGAATTATGTCTTAATCAACATTCTATCATCAAATTTGCGAATGTCTTGATAAAAAGAATAGGTGCCTTCTTATATGAGAATATCATATAATATTTTAACACTTACTATATTATGCTTGTTTTTTAGATTTTTATTGATGTAAATATTAATAGAGGTAAAACTTGGAAGTATACAAGATATAATTAGACTTCATCTACACCGTTATCATAAGGTCGTTATTTACACGAACTTCAATTATTCTCTCTCACGGGTATTTAAACAAGAAACAAGCACTTTGCTAATTTGTCTGTTTATGTGGGTTTCTGCTGGTTAGCTAGTTGAAGATCTGGTGCGACTCATTGTTTACACATGTTTAATTCATGTGTGATTATTATGCTCATGGAATATTTTTTCTTTGAAAGCATTTTGCCTGGTGTACAAATTACATTCCGGGAGCTAGCGTATAAATTGTTTATAATTCACTATTTAATTGGTATGTGTAGAAATAATTTTTAAATGCAGAATTTGAAAATTTAAGAAAAATAAAAAAAAATTGCCAATTGCATAGATATAAACGATTTTATTATTTAACTATATCGGTTTGTAGATTATATTTAAATTTTACAGCACATAAAATCGTGTTCTTGTGCAAATACGAGTATACAAAAACAGTTATATCATCATAATATTTTTGTCAAGTGTTAAAAAGAATGTGTAAAAAAAAAGATAAAGTACACACGAACTCAATATTGACCAAGTATGTTTTATTTTACCAGTTTTATGATCTTCGCCGTGCACATAAACGATACGTGTCCGGTGTCCAGCACTTCAAAGGACGTTCAACCGCAACAGCCCATCATATGCAATCCGCCGCTGATGATGGCGATACAGCGACTGACGATGTCCTATTGCGATTACGCCGCTCGGAGACGTGGAGACGCGCGCCCGCACGCGTAATATTAGTTTTTAACGCACGCCGCCTGTGCTATGCCTTTGGTCCTAACAAGATCTAGGAACTGCCTGAAAATTATTCCGGGCGTGCTCCGGCACAACAAGGAAGAATCCGAGCTCGAGCGCACTCGTGAAGCCAAGATTCCATACAAAGTGTTTAGAAAAAGTTGCATAACATCCAACCACTAGCACATGTTTTAGTGTGTATGACAATATGACGTCCAACGTGAACTTGCCCTAACATACACTATAACAATGGCATTGTTCTTATTCGTAGTTATTGTACACCTGAGGAAATTTATTACGGTTTGTTGATTTTTCTGTCGCTTTTATGTTGGTTCGCAAGAAAGCGAAATTGTTGGAGATCGAATGACGATGAATTGCACGCGTCGCGAACACTAGACCTACCTCTGTGGTATGTGGAATATTTGCTAGATATTACGGCATAAAGTGCATACCATTTTGTTTTTGCACGGTTTTACTCTTAGTATACTCTCACTCAATTCAGGTTCTTCTAAGATGCAGTAAGACGGTTATTGTAGCACGAGTAAGAACACTTTTTGTGACTATGTTGTGAAGCTCTGAACTATAATATCGGTTTTCTTGCCTGAGATGCATTATGGTATTTATAGAACCTGTGGTTTTAGTCGCCTAAGATTCAAAAGTAATGAGTGAGTTTATGATGTACAAAACCGCTAGAGTGCAAGAGGAAGAATAAGCGGATGACTTTATGCGCTGCAGTCGTAAAGTACTTTCAATTAAGCTCCCATCGTGCTCAAGTTCTTAAGTTGGATCATTATCATTATTTTAATGGTAATTAAGTTGAGCAACTTTGGCATAATTTATATATATCCACATGTGTTTATAGCTTATATGAAGAGGATTTTAATGATGGCTTAAAGTTTTATTTTTTTTTAAGTAGAGCAGATTTTTGATGTGATCCTTTTTATTTTGTTATTATTTTTTAAAATGATGGATGAATATTGCTGCTGTGCAAGAGTTGCCAATTGTTGTGTGACAGCCGGTTGGTAGGATGTGTTGCGCTGGTTGCAGGGTGTATATCTGCGTTAAACAAAGTAGCGTTAGTTACAGCATTTATAACTGAAAAACCGCTGGACAGATTTTGATGATCCATGATTTGTTGATTTTTCTTGGCCCAAAACATCAGAATAACTATTAAAATATGGAAAATTATGACTTGAATATATAGCTAAATAATTGAATATGAAATGGCGCTAAAGTTCAATATTGAGCTGTATAATTTCTTTAAAATAAAATTACGAATCTTATTGATGGAAACCTACGGGGAGGAAGTCGCGGAATAAATGGTTATTTATTGCTATCTTAACGCATTTATACATTACAAAGATTTGTTATTGTAGTTCGCGTAGTAAACGTGAAGAAAATTAGCGTAATCGTGAGTAACTGATTGCAGTAAACAAGTAATTATAACCTCAAAATGTACAACAACTACAAGTCTTGAACCTCTCTGCCTGCTAATGTGATATATTTAAAAACTTTTTCAACACAAAAATCAAGAGTTTACTTCCCGTTTGTCTGTATTTACAAGAAACACTTCTTGCTGATAAAACAGAAACATTTAATGCTTTTAATTACTCCTCATAGTTTTAATACGCCCAAACACAATAAAATGATGAGAATCTTACACACGTCTGTACCTTATTATCATATCCACGATTCCAGAAACAAGCAAGCAAATAAAACACAATAATAACAACTATTTGAGATCCAGGAATTCTTCACTTCCAGGATGCGCACCTCACGCGTATGCAAATATGCCACCTTGCAAAACTAATGATTGCCTTCTTCACAAATTTGCATTCGTGTTAATTAAACTTTTCATTTCTTTATTCTACCTGTCTACAGCCCGTTATATCTTGATCTAATGGTAATAATTCAACATTTGCTATGCCGGCTTATTAAACCGGCAAAGATGTATGACGACAATTAATACTTAAATCGTTGTGCATTAATTATCTTTACTCTGAACCTCGCACTGAACGCAGAGAGATACAAAGAAAGAGAGCACAAATTAACTTGTTACATAGTTGATTACTTCCAAGTCGAAGGTACGACTAGGTTCGTCCAGTACGCACATAAAAATTTGTGATTATGAAAATTTATTGTAGAGGAAACTAAGAAGCCAGTTGCCCAGGATCAGACAACATCTTATTTTAGATTTTTTATTCTCAGTTTGATTACTGTTCTTTATGTAATTCCGTTAGGCGTTATTTAGATATTAGATAGCAACAATTAACTTATGGAAAGAAATGTTTCTGCGGTGCATGTGAAGTTGAAATGCGTTTGGAGAAAATTAGTTTAATGATTATGTTATTTTCATTAGGTAACATTAATTCTGAACATTTGAACATGTGAACATTACCTAAATAGGATTTACTTTATTCATAATGATTAATAGCTCTTCTTTCGGTTATGCCGAGAGCATAATGTTGCTATTATTATTTATGATAAGTGATTTAACGATTACATATTCGCTCAACGTAGCAGAGATCATAAAAGGTTTTATACTTAACCAAATATAACATTCATTAAAATGTAAAATCGAATTTAAATGCTAAAAATGTAACTACTGAAAATTTTAATTCTCTCATCAATTCTCAATCAATTAAAAATATGTACTAGTTTAACTTTATACTTTATACTTTATGGATTTTAACACTATTTCGGATTTAATTTAGAATTCATGACATGATAAATCCAAGTTACAAGATAAACTATTAATATAGAAGGTATTAACTAATAAGTAATATATTTTTTTCAAATAACAGCAAGGCCGTGTGTAATTGATTTGTACCCCAATAGACTTGTTAAATCTGCAATAAAATGTTGTGAAAATGTTAATGTGGTTGCAAAAATAAAAATTCAAAAGTCCCCAGTTATGTCTTGTCACAAGAAGATGTTCTTGTAAAAAGTGAGTTTTATGCATTTTCCAACCAAATCACTAGTTATTTGAATAAATGAGCAAATACTGATATCACTACAGAATCAATCAAATAAGGAGAAAGGTGTAAGCCTCGATTAGCTTGAATTTATTATTGTTTTAATGAGAGTAAAGCTTTTCTTTATATAAACTCACCAATGTTAATAAATTGTTTTTTTAATCAATTGAATTGACAATTTCTGGAAAATTATCCCAGGCATAGTAAATAATACATATTCTATCGAAGAGTTTTTTTTTTATATATAAAGTTTTACATAAAGTTGTAGGTATTTATATAATAAACTAGCGGCCCTGTCGAACGTTGTCCCGACTTATCTTTCACGAATATTTTCGAAATTTCTGAAAGACTTTTTTAGCTATATGTGCCACATCCATTATTAAAACTCACAGTTTCCATTTCTAAATTTACAAATTCATTCACTTTTATAATTATTGTCAAAATGAGTTTCTATCTGTCAACTAATAATAATAACAGTCGAAAGGTATCGACACCTGTTAAAATCATTTGGAGTTAACAGATAATTGTGACTGTCAAGTAATAACAGACAAATAATTAGCAATAAATTAAAATTGCGACTATAATTTGAGATTTAAACTATCCTATCTCTCAAGTTGGATCGAACTGCACTTGGTGGGCGAATTTTATTATAATCGGTTAAGTGGTTTAGGAGTCCATTGAGGACAAACATTGTGACATGAGATTTATATATATTAAGATAGGTAAGTATTTGGTAAAATCTACATATTTCGACAGTTTCAGTCTATTTCTTGAGACAAATTATTTAGTTTCAATTTTAAATATTAATTTACCCTTCTTCAACTTTGTTTTCTCCTCCGCTTCCATCATCTCCCCTTTTTTCTTCTTCCGCTTCTCCTTCTCCCCCCTTATTTTTTTCTGGTTCATCTTCTCTCTCTTTTTCCTTTTCTGCTTCTCTTTCTGCCTCTCTTTCTCTTTCTGTGTCTACTTCTTCCCCTTTTTCTTTTTCTCCTACAGCTTTTTTTTCAGCTTCGCTTTCCTCATCTTTTTCTCCTTCTCCTTTTCCTTCATCTTCACCCACTGTTTCTTTTATTGTTTCCCCTTTGCCTTCACCTTGTCCTACTGCTTTTCCCTCTTCTACTTCTCCTGCTGCGTTTCCTTCTACTACTTCTCCTGGACCTTCATCCTTATCTTTGCCTTTATTTTTACCTTTACCTTCTCCTGCACCCTCACCTTCACCTTCTTTTTTTCTTTCACCTTCTGTCTCTACTTCATCTTCAACATGGTGATGGTATTCGTTCGCACTTAAATTTAATTTTACACTACCCTCTTTTTTCGGATCCGATTTCCGCTCTTGCTCCAATGACATTTGGTGCATTTTCTTTTTATTTTTTATGTCAACAGACAGTTTGCGTTCGATGTCGTCTTCACCCTTAAAGGATATAATTGAGACACGAGATTTAGCTGTGCTACGGCGTGTAGGTAAGGGGTGAATATTCATAAACATGCTACTTTCTAGCGATAAAAGCACATTTGAAGATAACGCTGGTTGTATAGCATCGGAGGCCGACTTCACAACAGGCTCTTTGCGAATTACTTCAGACGATGGAAAAGTGCGCACTTGAGTAATCAATAGGTCTCTGATGAATTCGGAAGGTTCATCTTTGTCTTTCTCTTTTTCGGCTATTGACTTTTGTACTGATTGACTTGGTTCTTCTAGCGAAGTTCCCATTGTTTCAATAAACTTTTCATACTGCAATATACATGAAACAAAAATATTAATAATGTGAATATAAGTTAAATGCAGAGACGCTAAACATCAATTAGAATTTTGCTGACATGGGTAGTCCCATTTTGTACGTTTGGTTGTTTTTGTTATAATGTAGTGTAATTTCCGATGAATTTGCTAAACAAAAAATAAGTGAACAAAATATTGATCTTACATCGTCCGTAATAAAATCTTCTTCTTCTTCTTCGCCGTGTGCAAATTCTGGTTCAACTGGTTGTCGCATTTTGATGTACTCATCCAATTCTCGTTCAATATCGACGCGTGGACGATCAAAAAATTGTTTTATCATGTATGGGATGTCACGGCGTGGTTGTTGCCTGAAGATGAAGCGTGTAATCAACGCAACGAAACCGCGAATCTAATTAAAATTCACACATTTTTATTAAAAGTAATTTTTTGATAATAGATTACGAGATTAAAAATATTAATTTATTTTATTACCTCTGGATGCATACGTAAATAACGCTCATCACTCTTAATCGTCGCAATTTTTAGTTGATTCAAGTTGATCTGCTGATAGTCGGTGAGGTATTCTGTGTCATAATAAGTACAACCACGTGGAGTATCGCATGGGTGATACTTCAACGGGTTGATTATTTTTGAAGAATTGTCTGCCATGTTTATTTTTGTCTAAAAATTAAAAAAAAAGGCGTTAAGTGCAATAAATGGAAATCTTAAAGGCGGAATTCGTCCGGAATAAGTCAAAGAAACAAAAAGTAATTTTTATTAAAATCGTCTCAAGTCATGAATACTTAACACATAATAATCTCCGTGATTACACTAAAATTATTGCATAAAACAAAAATAATTTAGAACTGTAATAGTAACCTAAATTATTTAAAAGATATAATTGTAACATACAAAAGTAGTTTGATAGTAAATTTAATTGTTTTTTTTTGTTCCGGACGCTAGCGTTAGAATAAATTAAATAATCTTGCACGCAGTGTACCTAACCTAAATTATTGTTGAGTCACCATCTCCATACAAGATAGATATACCAACAAGAAGATTGAATTCATGCCGGGTGTACTTATAGAGTAATTACGCATTTCCTTGTAACTCTTCATATCGCCATGTAGGTATTAAAAATGGTCGAGTGAACGCGCACAATTTTTTGTATTTGTTTTTGAGCGTACGTCGTTCGCAGTCGATAATTTAATTTTAACAAGTCCGTTAAATAAATAAATCCAGTCGTCGCCCGCTCAAGTTTTTTCCTCGCATGATGGTGCGCTCTTCATTCTCATGCATCTTTCGACGCGAATGATAATCGCGGCGGTGAGTATAATAGAAAATATGTACATATATGGGAGAGTCACCTACACGCGCAGCATGCACGCAACGTCGAAATCTCACCGTTATGCGAACGATGCGAGCGAGCTGTGTTTTTTTTTCGGGAAGTCGTTTTTCTTCACGCACAGACAACTCAAAAATTCCTCAAGATAAAAGCTAATATTTGCTTAATTTAATTTTGAAATTTTTTCACTTACCATTCAATCACTTTTATAATTTGATAATTTTTTAATTCAATATTAATATAAAAAGCTATAAAAACAAAATAAAATACAGGTTTCAATATTTAATGAAGAAATCTGTTTCAAACACCATGTATATAAATTCACGGTGCGTGCGTGCTGTGTTTATCTGCATCTGAAAATGCCGGCAGAAAAATACACTTGTGGGAAGTAATTGTATTGTTAAATAGTAATATAAAACAATTAATTTCTAAGTACGTACTTGCGTTTGCGTAGTTTAATTACACCCTGGAAATTTATTAGCCGGTGATTTATTTTTATTTTCTTAACGGTGGTAAATTGGTGTGCATATTTAAAATACGGTACTTGACTGACATTAACTAGATATGTCGGAAATTGTTTATATTGTTGCATAACAACAAATGTTGAAAAACTTCGAAATGAAAAATATTGCCCTGGGATTTTGTTGTAAAACCTTCGTATCTTAAGCTATGAATATACTCCATATAGTTTGGGTTGCCTATGTTAAACATACATGTTCTGTTTTTTTTTAGGAACACGCTTTGAATAGGCACCAGCGCCATCTGAAGTGTGTTTATTACTGAACATTTATTAAAGTTCATTAATCTAAAACTACCCGCAATATATTAAAACCATTACGCGAATATGTTCGATAATACATTTCTTAAAGATACAGTATATTTGCAAATTCTGTGCATGGAATAATTCGGTTTAAATTGCGGTTTAATTGTAAACTTTTTGTTTTGTCTTGAAATCTTACAAATTCCAATCAATTCAATTTTATTGACGCTTTAAATATTTTAAACTTCTAATTTCTTTTCAAGTATTATTAATCTTAATACAAAGCATTGGAAAATATATAGTATTAAAGCCAATTTTATTATATGATTGTTAGTTTACAGTTGTAAAACAAATATAATGCTTTTATTTAACAATCTAATTGAATTGAATTGAATTAAAGAAACTTTCAGACTTCTTTAAAAGCAAAAGTATGTTCCTCACTCTCAAAGTTTTATTTTTACGCCTTTCTTTTTTACCCTGTGGTATTATCACTGCCACTACAACGTAACTTAAATTTAAATTTAAATAAAAATTATTTTGGATATAAAAAGAAGAAAATAACCCATTTTTTGAAAACATGCGGCAAGTAAAGTCATGAATTTACTTGCCGCATGCTCCTAGAAAGCTTGAAATGTTTTGATTTCGTTTTACAGCCTGCAGCCACAATTAAATCGTGTCTGGCACCCTCTCTTTATTGTCATTTGCTCGACGTACCGGGAGACGTCTTTGTGCAAAGGAGTAACCAAAAGAATAAGTTTTGCACAAAATTTGCATACGCCGGCCTTCGCAACGTGCCGCAATTGCACACCGAGAATGCGCTGAACGAAAAAGTAGGCTTCTGCAATAAATCTTTCTTGTGTGAGCAAATTTCAAACAAACCCTTTTTACGGTTGCTGCAAAACACGTTGCCAATCTGACTTCGATGAATTTATAACCCGTAAGAGTGTAAAACTAGCGAGACGTTAAGAAGAACCAGTTTGCTCTTTGCGGTTCTTTTTGACATTTATGCACGTAAAAATAAAAATATAAAATCGATTTCTGTGTAGGTACGCCATACGTGTTCATATTTCATGTGCCATTGAGTAGATAATTGGCTGTGAAACTAATGGATAAAAAGCCGCAGACGTTTACGAGAAATAATTCATAAGCATCACATGAGTAGGGTTGATAATTAACCCTTGTTAAGTTGAAATATAGAAAGGGCACGTCAGTACTCAGTTTATTTGATTGATTTGACCTTTTATAAAAGCAAAGAGTTGATTTAAATCATAACAAACCAAACAAATCATCAATAAATGATTTCGAACTTCTTAAATACCATTTCTAAAACTAACATTATTTTTATCATTCAATCAATCAGTGAAATTCTCTAATTACGACTTTCAGTTTTATTTAATTTAGGAATATGTCATTTTAATTTTGGAAATTTGGAAAGCGCAACACTTTCTTTTCGTTTTCACGAATATCGTCAATAAATTACACGTATTTATCTAATACGCTTAGCCATGCAAACCACTCGACAAGAAATATTCTGCGCCGACTTTAAATAACCCAATATTTTGTAACGCACTGAATGCATTACGCTGTAAATTTACTTAAAGTCTAATAAAATCGGTCGCCCGCTGGCATACTAATAAACACCCGCTTACCCTTGAAAGTCCAAACGTGCAACATGCAACCCTTTTGTTCGTGCCGCTCAAACACGAGTCAATTTAGAAATGCAAAAAGTCCACAGCAACGGTACACTGATTTTTTGTCACAAAAAATTCAAGGTTTATCAACATAGAAAATATTTTTCTCAAAGCATGAAATTCGTGAAATGTTTTCCATCTTTTTTGTATAAATTTGCATGTTTTAAGTTGTGTAGAGTTGTAAGGAATAGAATAAGTTAAGTTAACAGAAATACTACTTTATTGCTCGGTCAGCCCTTGCCTCTAAGCGTTCATAAAGTTAATCTCTTCCAGACTGAGTTCTGAAAAGTCGAGCGCACAATATTTGCGAATTGAATGCAACATGGCAATCGTGCGAATGTTTGGGTCAATAGTCAAAAGTAGTCACAACTGCGTTTTGTGCGGGTGTCGTCGGTAAGTCGCATGGAAAAATGACTTCTAACTGTTTTATTATAGGAGATTACAAGCGGATTAGGCGATATTGTAAACAACAACAAGTAGATTTCGTTCGGAAAAACTCAACACTTTTAAATTCTTGGGATGTTATCAATTTTAAGTTGGGTTTTATTACATTTACTATTGTTTTGTTCATAGCGTGATTTCCTTTTTAGTTTGCTACTGAATGTTAAAATTTTAAGAATATTATGTTGTTAAATATTTAGGTAGATGTAGAATATTCTAGAAATATTTCTATGGATATTTTTATTAAAAAGAACGAAACTAAAAACTAAAGAAAGTTATGTATTTTAACGTTATGCAACTTCTATTACACTTAATATAACTTAAAAACACATTAAAAGTAATAATTACCCAGAAAACAAAGATTAATCTAACTCGATACGTTGATAAATACACGTAAACATCAAATTCGAGAATTTTCCTAGGGTGTGTGTGCAGTCTGGTGACTCACATCTCATTTTCTCCTCTTGGATTCTTTGCAGGAAAAAGTCTGCGTACCCTGCATACATCCGAAAACCGCAAGCATCGTCCAAGTATATTAAAGCGGGATGGCGTCGATGGGGTGAGCCGCGAGACCCCTCTCGCATCTCGCAGGAGCGCGTCTCGACGGCCATTTTAGATTTTATTACCGTTCGATACTAAAACACGTACAGATAGATAGTGTATCGGCGGGCAGCCTTCCTATAGTTTGTTCATTTCCAATGTATACTCTACTTGCCACCCTCTCCTTCTTCCGAAACAACCTACGATTCGATTTTATACTTGTCAACCGATATACAGGCAATGCACTTTCTACAATTCAATCTCTTTCGTTTGCGCTTTTTCTTGCGGTGTGAAAAGTTGATACACACTGTGTGTGTGAAATGAAATAACTACATGTTGGTAGTGGGTATATAGGAAAGCATTATTGGAGGGTAGCCAACATCGAGGACGTTGGTATAATTTGCTAGGTGGTTCATGTGTATGTGAGTGTGCGTTTTTTTCTTCTTTGTAGCAGGCAGCAGGAGGATGAGGCCATTTCACTCCGCCGAGACGCGGTCGTTCTTTCTGCGCTTTTCTCCCCTTATCACAGCCGAGCGATCGCATCGTGCACAAGCGTCTCGTCTGGCGCTTGCCATTTTTTGCTGCAAAATAATATTCCGAAGAAGCAGGGGGAATGCAGGGATTGCAGCAGGAGCAGCAACGACGACGAAGAAGATGGCTGGAGCGGGAAATCGTCGAGATATGCTGGAATAACAAATAAATCATCGCCGCTGTCCCGTCGCCGCCCCCCAGAAAGCCATTTTTTGACTTTTGCTGCGATATTATTTATAACTGCGTCGTTTTATCATAACAAAAAGTTGCAGAAGCACTGAGGGACGCGATGGAAGAAGCTTCATTTCGCCTTGGGCTCGGGAATGGGAATAATTCACTGGCGTGCTGGCAAAAACAATTCGCTTCTGTATGCAATTTCTTTGTTCGCCAAAACAAACCCATTGACTACCGGACGGCGAATTCATTTATCATGCTTGAGCGTGACAACGATTTTAATATCTCTTTGGGAATAGTGTTTTATTCCTCATCGGAAAAATCTGTTTCGACTTATTTTTGCTTTTATTACTTTTTGCCTTCTTTTATGTCAACAAAAAAGACATGTCATAAAATGCTGAATAGGCATTGAAGATATTATGGCGCAAGTTAAGTTTGACAAGAGAAAAATTGCATAATTTTGCGTAAAAATTGGGTCGACTTTCTCTTTTACAAAGTTCTGCTATTTTACAGCCTTGTAAAAAATCTGTTCGCAACTAGAAAAATGCGTAATATGCAAATTTTTTGACTTTCTATTCTTCCAACATGTGTAAGTACTAACTTTTTAAAGTATCTTCGAAAATCACAGTTAATTTACAAGCAGATGTTGCGCAAAGTCGTTTTAAAATTAATTTTTTTAAAGAAATCTTTTCTTGAATGAGCAAAACTCGAAACATCAATATATCACGTCGTACGTATTCATTCATCTATTCTTTTTGAAGATTTAAGTAAAAAGCTCACCGATGCAGCGATTTTGCGCCTTTTTCGGTGAAATCTTGAGGTAAAATTAAGTAGCGGATTCTCGTATTCTTCACCGGTGTTTAAAAAACGCATACGCACCCGAATTCGACCATTATTAGCCCGGTATTCATTGCTGTAAAAACGGAGGACGTGCGTGGACCATTGTAAGCTGAGACTTACAAACGATATTTAGAGGAAGAAATGACCAACACATGTTTTTTAAAGGCTTTTGTTGACCTCTCCCGTTTAGATGGACGCAGCTGAAAGTGTCACCATATTTTATATATCTATACGTTTTTCGTATACTATCTAGAATACTTGAATGTAGTCATAAGCCAAAAATACTGTATTTTTCTCTGAGTATTACCAAAGTTTATATCTTGCCCTTAGTATTTGGGCGTTAGGCTTAAGTTTGCTTAGTACTCAAGGGTGGTGCGATGGTCTGCTCGTGCTGAGATTGAGTGCAAGTAAACGTATAGGTTTCACTTTTGTAGCAAATCTTAAAAAGCGAAGAATCGGGGACTAAAAAACGAAAAAATGTGGTTGATGGTTGTAACTTGGTACTTTTTTCATGCGACCACAGTGCTTAGTAAGGTTTAATGTCATCGAACCAGGAAGAAGCTGCAATTTGATATTTTAGCCCGGAAAAAAATGCATGTT